TGGTTCATGTAAGCTGTGAGCCCTTGAACAGTTTATGGTTCATAAAATTGAATATTTGTTAAAAAAATTAAACATGTCTGTACCAGTCCAAAAAACGATAAAATCATTTAAGAAATCTCATAGATGAAGTACAGTGAACAAAACTTTTATCTTGATAGTGATATTTTTATCTTTATTACAAAGGATATTTATTTAAAGAAAGATATACTTTTTATCTTGATATCATAAAATTACCAATTCTGTAGAGGCATTTGGAGGAACCCAATCGAGTTTTACAGGCTTGTCTGTCACTCCACGAATCTTAATCAGGGGCACTGTAATGAAAAATGATGACAAATTAATATGTGGAAAATTAATGTACAGATTATTTTGTTATTAGTTTTCAATCAACACAACAGTATTTCAAATATAAAACCAAAAGTAAACATGGTATTAATACTTAGCAATTAGGTGGCTATCAATGTTTTTGTCAATACTTACATGATGCCTTCTTAGGCCTCGCAGTTCCAAGAAGTTCAAACTGAGCCCATCCAGTCAGGTCATCATCCTGCACATCATGCACATCCTTGCTGCAGTGGCACGCTCGGCACACCTTACGCCAAAAGTGTAGGTCTAATCCTGGGCATGTTGGACCTGTAATTAAAAGAAATAGTAAGTATTGTACTAAAGTGATCAAATGAGTTGAGTGTTATTGAATAGATATTCCGAAACATCGAAGGAACATTACTATTTACTTACCACAGGAATTACAAGATGCGCCTGCACCGCTATCGTGACCAAGCCGGGCTTTACTCAACTTCTCGCGCTGACTTTCTAGTTTAGATAACCAAGCTGGAGCCTCTGGAGTCTCCACACATGAGTCACCCATCTATAAATAAATATTAAAGTCCTTTTAAAATTGTAACTAACTAGTGCTGATTCATAATTTCGCTTGCAAAGCGTTATCAATTTTGATTACTCCTTGGTTTCACCTTACCGTTTTGTTATCTGCACAAGAAATATTTCAGTAGAATAGGGTGGTGTTAAGCGAGTATTAAATAAAAACTAAATGCGACACAACAAAGGAAACTAATCTGTGTACATATTGTATAATTTCAATAAAAAGGAATCAAAAACGCAAAGATAACAACACAGTCCGAAATTATCAATGAAATAAAAGTGATTGAATCAAAGATTAAAACTTGATTTGATAATGAATGATATCAAAGAGTAAACAAAATTATAGTGCACAACGACCAGAGAGCTTTTAATCATTATATATCAAGCAAAGCAAGCTCCCATTACAGTTACAGTTTTTTATTTGCTCGGAATAAGTAATTTATTTACTAAATTCTTTACAAAGAAATTCATCAAAGATGTCAACTTCGACATCTAAAGAAAAATTACATCTGTGATCTATACGATTGCCATAAAAATGTTTTCTATCTATGGATATTAAAATACACCATCCATCACTCAATGCGTTTTTTCTATATTGTGATCAGAATTTGATTCATAATTCTTAATCAACAACTGAAAAGCACGTACAAAACTTTATCAATACGAACAATAATTTATACTTAATCGACAGAATTTATAACACTTCATTTCAAGGTAATAGAAAGAATATTTCTATAACATTTTGGATTTTCCGTGACTCATAGGTTGGCATTTATTTACCAATTATTTGTTTATTTTAGATGTCTTCTGGAAGGCCTATCAAATGTGTGGTTGTTGGAGACGGGACTGTTGGAAAAACTTGTATGTTAATTTCATACACAACGGACAGTTTTCCTGGCGAATATGTGCCTACAGTGTAAGCAAAAATTTATTCATATTGGATCCTAATTATAATAAGTAAAGATCGAGAATAATAAGTATTCAATACCTTTGTGGTCGTGGTACGTATTGGTTATATGAGTTTTTATTTTAATTTGTGTCCATTTTAGGTTTGATAATTATTCAGCCCCAATGGTGGTGGATGGTGTAGCTGTATCTCTAGGTCTTTGGGATACAGCGGGACAAGAAGACTATGATAGACTGAGGCCATTGAGCTACCCACAAACTGATGTCTTCCTAATATGTTTTAGTGTAACAAGGTAATTCTAATTATGAAAATATTTTATGACCATAATTTCTCTTGATATTAAAAACCACTTGTTTTCAGTCCTTCGTCATATGAAAATGTTACATCTAAGTGGTATCCTGAAATTAAACATCACTGTCCTGATGCACCAATTATTTTGGTTGGTAAGTACTTTTATATATTGGTATCTTTTAGCAGTAAATGTTCCGAAATGTACTTTACTTTCACTTTAAGATATAATATGTTGAAATAACGTAAACTCATAAATTACTTAATTGAAAGGTAAATGTTATAAGTGAAAGTGGATTGGGCTGTTTAAATTTTCTGCAATGTTATATTGGTGTATAAACCAATGTTTTAGTTTACCCATAAAATATTTAATAAACCAAATGATTACATTATGTGAATGCAAATGTTACTATTATTAGGAACTTTACCTTTTTCATTCCACTCTCCAATATAACTCGTCTTATGTTTTTAAACATAAAGCTTTACTAAGTGAAGAAAGAAAAAGTAGCTCACTATTAATAAGTCATAATAGTATTTAAAAGTGTTTAGTACTATTTTATTACTCTTTATGTTTCTAGGTACAAAAATAGATTTAAGAGATGACAGAGAGACATTGAGTCTACTCTCAGAGCAGGGCATGTCACCGTTGAAGCGGGAACAGGGCCAGAAGTTGGCCAACAAAATTAGAGCTGTCAAATATATGGAATGCTCAGCATTAACGCAGCGTGGATTAAAGCAGGTAAACAAACTTATTGTTGTTTTGAGTTTATGCACTTGTATAGATAAGCAGAATTTTTAGTGGGCTGTTTTTAACTTTGGCACATTGCAATATATTGGTTACCATATTTTGTGTAGGCTAAGCGCAAACTGAGTTTGACCACCTCAAGCCCGGTTGAATCTGTAAATGCCTCTTCAAGGCAAACAGTGGCCATTCGGTCACAAAAAAAAACATTTTGTGCTATTACTGACAGTTCCTGTGAGGCTTCATCTGCATGAAATAAAAGCTTTATTTCATCCTGTTCAATGCAGAATGGCAACATTAAAATGACTATTTGATTTTCTTATCTTTACCACTGGATAACAATTTTTCTTACCATGGAAATCCTGTTTCTTTACTGCTATGGGCTTGTAGTTTCCCGCTTCTCTAATGACAAGTTTTTTCCCCCAAAAATAATAGTGCAACCATGTAAAGCCTTTAGTGTGTTATTTATCACTTTCACTTTCACCCGCGCTCCGTCCGTGTAGAATTAAAAGAAAATGAGTAGCCTATGAGTTCTTCCAGACTATCCTCTATGTCTATGCCAAATTTCATTGAGATTGGTTCATCCGTTTAAGCTACAAATGTTAACAAACATCCATCCATCTAAGCTATCACATTTATAATACTAGTAAGATTGTATTGGTGATAACCTATGCAACAATTCTTTGGTGTGTGTGATTGTTTTATTATATTAGTATAAATTGTGTAATCAGTGGCAATATCAAGTTGGCCCTATATAGTTACTCTTTAACTTGTTATATTACTCTATTAAGCATTTAAAAATACTAGTGATGGCAATTTAAGTAATGCACAAATGTTTTTTAGTTTATGTAATTATTTCAGGTATTTGATGAAGCAGTACGCGCAGTTTTAAGACCGGAACCACAGAAGAGACATCAGAGGAAGTGTCTAATCATGTAAATATGGTATCAACAACCAAAATATTCAATTATGACACTCGGGAATCTCGACATGACAGTAATAATATGTTTCTATACCAACATGTAGTTAACAGTTTTTATGCCACGTTTTCTGCACAAAATCTCAACATATATATTTTCATTACAAATGCTTTATAACAAATGTGTGCCATAAATTTCTTTACACATTTCTTTGTATGAAAATATAGATTTTTTATATACTAGTTGAAAAGTATTGGAAAATGGATATGTAAAATTCAGTAAGATACAGGGAATGTTAACACTGATGTTAACTATATATTTTGACTTCTTACTTATAAATGCGAATAATTAGATGGATAAATGGTCGGTATGAAGGTATTTCTGAAATTGCTAAACGGATCTCGATTACATTTAGAAATTAAGGCCTGTCCCACCAAATTGTAAATTGTCCGATAGCAATCCAACTTATAAAATATTTGATGGAAATACCAGATTTTGTTCCCTTATTCGACAGATACGTCGTTTTAAAGCTATCTCAGCATCTATCAACCAGTGGTGGGACCGGCCCTTACTTCTTTTCTTTAACTCCGTAAAAAAATTTGTAAAAGCTAGTATATAACGAATCTATGTAATTAACACATCTATGATATCACATGATTATATTATTTATGCTTCAATATATTGTAAGCAATATGGAAAATGCCAAAGATTTATGAGTAGATGTAAGTTTTCACGTTTTAGTTTGCGTCGTTAATTGACCTGCGGTTGGAAACAAATTGTTACTGTTCAATAGAACTGATTAATGATATTATTTTTTATAATATGCAAATGAAACCTCAAACTGGAAGTTTTGATATGTATTCTAAAGACCACTACAGATAGTCAGTTTTGACAGTTTTAACTGAGAAATCATACCGTCAGTTAAAACTGTGTGTGTATAGATAAAACTTTAATTGTAATTTAAATTTAATTAAAGCACAGGACATGACAGTACTGTGAACAGGACATTTAAAATTTAGCGTAAAAGTGTACAGTTTTAACCGGACAGTTTGTCCAGTTAATATTGTCAGAACTGAAATTCTGTAAGGGGCTTTATGCAACTTGTTATAAGGACTGACTGTAGACGCTAGTTGTGTATTACATTACTTATTAGTTGCGAGATATAGAATTTTATACAGGTAGGAATATCATAAACAATTGTTAATTTCTATACAAATTATATATGCTGACAAAATGGGTAATTTTATTATACCATTTTTTTTATCTGTTGCTACAATTCGTATGCGAAAGCGGGACAAACGCATATGCCAGATTGAGACAAAGGATACAATAGACAATTCCTAATTGTACAGTATTTTTGACTGTACAGTTAAGATTTTTTTATCAATTTATTACAAAGTTCAGATCAGAAATTCTAGTATATAATTTAACATTTACTTGAACAATATAAATTTTTCTAATACTTTATTTTCATGCACCATAGATTTAGTCACAGTTGATTTTTTTTCTTTTACTAAAACTGAATTTCTACTGCTTTCTGAGAACCTTGAAATATTTAATATTGGCTTATTTTCTTTTTACGTTAGTCCGAATTAGACTTAGTATGAATATAGTGGTGAGTGCTTGTTTAAGATTTTTTTACAATCTTTACTATGCTTATATTTTCGTAAACTTAGACAATAAGTTTATTGCAATATTCTGAGGAATTGTGGATTTTATGTACTGCGGACAGCTATTTTTAATATTTTTTCGAATATTTGAGTGTTTCTTGTAAATTCATAAGTCTATGTGTCATTTGGTAAGTTCAGACAATTCTAATATAAGTTACTTTTATATTTTCTTGATCTATATAAAGATGTTTGTGTATTATATAAAAGATTTCATTTAAATCGTATTTTTTAGTTTGTGTATTGTAGGCATGTGATGAAATCGTGTGTTTTATAGTGATTTATTAGGTCAAAATATTTTTGTATGTGAAGAACATAGCTTAAGGGTAACAAAGCATTTAGTGTGATCCGAATACATGGCATCGATTTTTCGTAAATATTTTATAGACTGCTTTCATTTACAATGTAACTTGTATATAACTATTCAATTATTTATATGAAAATGCGCAATTTAAAAATAAAACTTGTGTAATAATTCTACTTGCACTTCATAAATTATTAAATTTAAAATATTTGTATTATTTTATTCCCATCTTTTTCTCAAGATTTTTTTTTAACCTCGAGATGGTTCATATAGTTTTCATAGGTTATTTTTGATTCTGTTACTTTGGACGAACTTTGGATTAATTGGTAAAATGGGGACTAATACCTACGTTCTAAAACGCTTTGGATTTAAAGGCGGATGGTCGTCCGCAGTTTTTTTTTCTTTGATGTCAGTCGCTGCGTGAGTGTCCCCCGGAAGCGTAGTGTTGCCATAGGCGTCACACAATTATATTTTTTCTATTATCCACTATTGTTGGTAGCTTTGGTAGTTTATTTATTGATTATTATTTACTAAGTTAACTATTTGATATTTGGTACAAGCCATTATAAAAATTCATATTTACATAAAATTACCAGGGAAAATTAATAGACATATCTTTATAATTAATTTATTTCTTAAACACATATTACATGTCATTAAACAATAGCTAATAGTGGAAAACCTATATAGTTCATCTCTAAACTCTAAATAAAGCTGTAAAAAGCATACATAAAAATTAATTTAACAATACTTATGTTTCATCATTTTCGTCCTTATGAATATTCTTTTGTTAGTTACATTTTTTGGGACCGGAAAAGTTTATCCAGTGTTTTCAAAATCTTCAATTATACTACTTTTTTTCATGTAAAGCATTGGTCTAAATATTTTCAAACACATAGAGGTACACAAAGCAGAGTTTAATTTCTACTATCATATAAATTACGTGACTACATATTACAAAAGCAAAAATTCTACAATACACATGTTTAATCAGTTATTACGATAACTGTGATTAAAATATGAATAAATACTTAACATTACGATAAAAATGAAAAACACTGGATAAAATCTCATTAGAATTAAAAATCAATTATTTGGAATCGATTGAAGCAATCTATAGAACATATTAAATTTTTTATAACAGATATGACTGCAAATATACTAAAGCTAGTAGTAAAAAGGTATGATAAATGCATTGACACAAATTCAGTTTGACTCACACCGGTCGTACTAATGAACGTTATCCACATACCAAATAGTTACGACTCCTAAAGTTAACAGGACAATTGGCATTATGTGTAAAGTGGTCACTTTTGACGCGCACACGAAATAGACCCATGTAGAAGCAAATAATATTTACATTTGAGGGTCTGGCAAAGCGAGTCCAATATTTTAATACATAAGAACATTATTTACTACAATAGAAAAATCTAATACTAAATTCATTTGAAATTTCATAACATTTGAAAACCACATCAACAAACATTTAATGTCAAATTTTGGATGGTACATTACAGATATATAACCAATTTAGAGTAAAAGTAAGGTAATTCTACACATTTAATAAAGTTTAAATTGATATTACTCAATCTCATTGTAAAGCAATAAGAAAACTTTTAACTTCCTTAAAGGATTTGTTATCCTTCACATTTGCGACTATTAGAGATCACCCTACAGCATATATAATTTGGGGGTAGTTTACAAAATTCAATTTTAAAGCAATAAAAAACTACTTACAAGTCCAAAAGATATCAACATACAATTAATAAATGCAACAAACTAGAATAATATAAACTTACACTACATTTGATCTTAGATCAGTTGACATTAAAAAAGCTAAAACAAAGTACTTTAACCAAAAGGTTATTGTATGTTGACTAAAAAAAACTGATTTTTGCTATATTCAATATCTTAATTAATAATGTTGAAAAAGTCTTTTATACACAAATATTTTAAAATACAAGTTCACAACAGAAGACTTCTAACTATTAAATATTGGTTTTAAGCAAATCGCAGAGTAGTAAAGCATGTCATATAATTTGGCCACATGTACTTAGTAACAATAAGAGAAAATCTTCTCAGGAGAACTATTGTAGACTCAAATAACCTATGGTTACGAAAACAATGCATTTACACATTACATATGTACATCATAAATACATTATCAACATAAATACTAACATCGATGATTATTTTTGTTTTTTTTTTTTATTATTTTTCTTACACATAATTCATTATTTATTTAAGAGTTTAGTCTAAATAAAAACATTGATTATAGAATACAAAGATATAAATATTACAACTATAAACAGAATACTGGTAGAAATATGACATGAGCATTTAAATTTAAGCAATCCTTCAAAAACACTGTAAAACTTTAGAAACATTCAGAGATAAATCAATTAATGTAACTACACATCCATTTAACAGACATGACTTCTAATCATTGTCGAAAAATTCAAGTTAAGCTGGAGATATTTTGAAGTAATCCCGCTCTTTCAAGTTTAAATGCCCTCGTTCATTAGGCTTTTATCTTCCTGATATCACATGGCCCTATACGGGCCCTGGGATTTCAAATACTGAATAACTAATGATGGACCAGACGACACCACCTCAGGTGGAATAGCAGTCAGAGGGCAATTCTCAATACTCATTATCTGTAAGCTCACACAAAGAGCTAGCTCAAATGGTAAGTTGCATAAATTAGGATTATCATTCAAATATAATGACTCCAAGTTCTCAAGTGTGCCAATCTCCTCTGGCAAATACTGCAAGTTATTCTCACCAATACTAAGAAATGTGAGATTGATCAAATGACCAATAGATCGAGGCAATGTAGTTAGCTGATTGGATTGAACAATCAATTTTTGCAAATCATGCAAAAATCCAATTTCATTTGGCAGAACTTCCAGTTTGTTCTCCTCCAAGTCTAAGACTCTAAGTTTTCTTAGACTACCAATACTGGGTGGGATTCGTTTTAACAAATTGTTGGATAGTATTAATACTTCCAAATTCTGAAGGCATTGAACATCATCAGGCAATTTTAATAATTGGTTTGTGCCTAAATTCAGCTCCACCATATTGATCCATGTTCCAATGTCAAGTGGAAGAGATGTCAACAAGTTCTCTTTCATATTCAGTTTGGTTAAATTTTTAGCTCTAGAGAATATACCATATGGTATTTTATCAATTTGGTTGTGCTCTAGATTTATAGAAAATGCATTAGTAAATTGAGCAGGTCCCCCAGAGGGGTAACTCATAAAGGAATTTCTAGAGAGTGTAATGCTTGTCAATTCATTAAGACTAGAAAGCAACCCTTCAGGGAGTTGTGAAATAGAATTGCCTTCTACATTGAACTCATCCATATGTATGCAGTTGCTTAAGCTTGCAGGAATGGCAGTCAGTCGGTTGTAACGAAGACCAAGACGAGTCAGTGACTGCAAGTTACCTATTGTTTCAGGTATATCCAGTAAATCATTATGTTGTAAATCAAGAGTAGACAAATTAATGCAAAATCCAATTTCTTGAGGTAAATGTTCCAAGTGGTTATGGGAAACATCAAATGTTACCAGATTAACAAGTTTACCAATCCCAGAAGACAATTCTTTGATCTTATTTTCTCTCAGACTGAGCATAGTTAAGTTAGTAAGATTGGCAATTCCATCACAAACAACTCGGATTCTGTTAAACCGAAGAAACAGTGTTGTCAGTGATGTCAACTTGTATACAACATCTGGTATATCACTTAACTTGTTATGTCGCAAATCTAATACCTTAAGGCATTTTAAATTTGCAAGGGAATCAGGTAAGCTTGTTAAAGAATTTTCATTCAGTGCTAGTGTCTGCAAATTTGTGAGACAACCAAATTCAGCTGGAAGAGCAACTAGTTTATTTCCATATAGATAAAATTCAACCAGATGTGTCAGGTCTCTGACATTAGGGGGTAGAGAAGTGATGCTGGATTTGCTTAAATCTAGTCGCTTAACGCCTTCCTCACGGCATCGCATAAACTCTTTGATGACATCTAAATCAGCTTGAATAGGTTTGTTCTTCTTGGCTGTAGGTTTAGGCTTGTTTGACTCAGGATGTTTCACGGTTACCACTTTCGGGCGTGCTCCTTCGGAGTTTGTTAGTGAAGCAGTTGATAATTTCTTTTCTCTCATACTGTGATATTTTTCTCTCGGACTTACTGTCCCGATGGAGTCCAAGGCTTCGGAATTTTCTCTCGACGAGTTATCGAGATTCATTCCGATAATTTTATCAATTACTTTCAATACAGTTTATTACTGGAATGTAATTGGGCGATTAGCGTTTTAAAACTCCCGTACCATTCTCTTCATCTTTTTGCACTAAACCTAATCAATACTAGTTCACTTCAATATGGAAATTGTCAGTCACCGCAAAAAAACTTGTTTACCGATTTACTTTGAAGATATGTAATGAAGTTTGTTTTACTGATGCCTCCGACGAGGAATACTTAAACAACAAAATACGTTGTTCTAAAAATAATGAAAACTCAATACATTTGTGCTTTGAATTGAAAAATTATAATTTACAATTACAGTAACACAGATAACATTTTGATACCATTAACAAACTGGAAATAGATTTTTTTTTACAAAAAATTGCTTGCTACAAAATAATATTTATCTAATTATTCATAAAAATAACTAATATAAGTACTAAATAATGTTTGTTACTTTATTCGACAGAACTAGAAATCCATTTTACGTGCTTTTCCTAGGTTTTGTATTTACAGTTATTGTCTCTGCTTGCTCTATTCTTTGACAAATAAGAAACGTCAAAAAAGTGATAGATGTAAAGTTTGTTGTGGCGGGTTATATTTTTAATCGGCGTAATATTTATCGTTTTAAAGTTTATTAGGTACATACTATCCCGTAAACATGGATAAAAATAAAGAAAAAGAGGAACAGAGTATCATGGATAAATCCATGAGATCTGTCTTTGGTAAATATCTTACTTGTTAACATTTTAAATTGATTTCCAAATTCTTATGTTTCATACGATTATTTGTAATTTTTCAGTGGGTAATATTCCTTACGAAGCTACGGAGGAAAAGCTTAAAGATATATTCAGCGAAGTGGGGCCGGTATTGTCTTTTAAACTAGTGTTTGATAGAGAGACTGGAAAACCTAAAGGTTATGGCTTTTGCGAATATAAGGATCAGGAAACAGCGCTTAGTGCTATGAGAAACTTAAATGGTTATGAAATCGGTGGTAGATCACTCAGAGTTGATAATGCTTGTACGGAAAAGTCAAGAATGGAAATGCAAGCCTTGATGCAGGGTCCACAGGTAAGATTTTAAATTAAACTCTCTTCTTTTGTAGATATGAATTACAAAATTTTTTTTATGTTTTATAGGTAGAAAATCCATATGGAGATGCAATTGAACCGGAAAAAGCTCCAGAAGCTATCAGCAAAGCAGTAGCTACACTACCTCCGGAGCAAATGTTTGAACTTATGAAACAAATGAAGCTTTGTGTTCAAGTATGTTGTCATATCACTTCGCCTATTAATGCAAATAATTAAAAGCTTTATTTCAGTAAATTACTCTTCTCATAGTTACTGTATACAATATTTTTTAATCCGATGTGTTTTAATATTTCAGAACAATCCGGCCGAAGCTAGAAACATGTTGCTTCAAAATCCTCAGCTAGCATATGCTCTACTCCAGGCACAAGTCATAATGAGAATTGTTGATCCAGTTACTGCTGTTGTAAGTTTTTGATGTGATTGCATCTATCAACTAATAGGTTTTTTTTTCCTATCTCATTAATGGATTGTATTGATTCAATCAGCCCAAAGGGAAAAAATCTCATTGTCCATCAATCAATGGTCCAATTGGTCCAACGGGAAACACCTATTTAGGTATATTAAACATTTATAAAAATTTATTGAATACTCTCAAGTGTGGCAAGATATTCAAAGATAAATATTTATAAATTTACTGTAACAATATCTTTATGAAACTTTTCTATGAAGGTATTTTTTTTTAGAGTATGCTTCATCCCAGTAATCCTGTGCCTCCAGTGTTACAGCCTGACAAGCCTCCGATGCCTAACAACTACATACCTTCAAATCAGCAACAAGGTAATTCAGAATTCATTACTAATATAAAATAACATATTATTATATCCTAATTATATACACAGTAGTAAAAAATTAAAAAAAATAATTGTTTTTGGAGTAAACTTTAAACTTTATTTGATTAATTTCAATTATATTTCAGTGCCACCGCAAATGATGAATAATCCTGTCCCTGCTCCTAATCAATACAATCGTGAGTACATTTTATGTTAAAACTTTGTTAGGAATATATTATTTGAATGAATGCTTCAGTATTAGAAATTGACAGTAAATATATTTTATTTGTAAAACTTTAAGTTAGTACAATCATGGTTGTGAATGTTCTTTAAAGTGGTGTAAATTCGAAAGTTTGGATGGAAGTTTGTATCATAGAAATGGTTTAAACCTCTTACAGATGCTCTGTTTCGTTGTTGGTGCCCGTTTAACGACATAGTTAAAGTTTTGTGTAACAACATAGTCAAACTGTTCAATTATAACTAAATATATGTAACTGACCTTAACAGGTTTTTAAAGACGTTGAACATAATCTAGAAGATTATATAGGCCGTTTACTAATTTCTTTTATGGATAAATTCGTTGTCAAAGGCTAGTGTTAAATGAAACTGTGCAACAGCCCGCAGCATGTCTAACATGGGTATGGACGTGGACCTGCGCGGTG